TTATTAATTTCCAAAGACTCCAGAAGATTAAGTTTTGGTGCATTTATTGGCAACATGTAAGATTCTAAAGTTATCGTAAAATTTGTGGTTCTCTTTTATTAAATGGTTAGCATATGAAGAGTCCTGTTTAAGGTTTATATACTCTCTAAAAATGAATTAGTTAAAAATGACTAATTGTCATAGCGAAAAAGCAGGCACTAATAATTCTCGTCAATAGCAATTTGTACCCCGAACATTTAGCAATCAATTTCCATGTAAAATTGTTCCCTGAATCCGAAAATGTCGTCGACAGTTAAAAAAGTAGAACAGTTTTTGAAATAAAGTCAATTTTCCAAATATTATGAAACTGACTTTATCTTAAAAACTGCTCCACTTTCAAAATTTAAGACGATATTTTCGGATTCACGGGTATCCCGTGGTTAACCATGATATAAGTGAAAAAGCAGTCACTAAAAACTGTAGTAGTTAGTCATTTTTCACGAATTCATTTTTAGAGAGTAGGATGTTCAATATATGGTTTTTTGTGTCTAATTGGTTCACAAACAATTAACAATTTAATATGTCTAAGTGCTATTTTACCCTTTAGAACAATTTTAATAATATTTAAATAGTTAAATATGTAAATAAGGTTAAAAACATCTGAAGATTGAAAGGGTTTGAAGGACACGATTGGTCATGCCCGAGGGAGAGAGTTTTTTAATACGTCACGTGACAAAGTAAATTCAATAAAATTGCTTACTTGTTTAATTTTTAGTCACATTATTACAATAAGAACCGAAAAAAAATATTTTTTTGGGGTAGGGACCCAGGGGGTCTTTACATAGTCTATCACAAGTGAGGAGGTCAAATTTGATCATTTTTAGCGTCAAGATATATATAAAAATAAAAAATATATAGGTACTTAAAACAGCTATAAAATAGTTTTTCTACTTCCATCTTTAAAACGCTCATTATTGTACATGGTACATGTACACCGTGACACTGACACACGGGATTTTTGGTCCCGACTGAGGAGAGCTTTAGGTTGAGACACTATTTGACGTTTTTAATACCAATTACGTGTTGCCAAATTTGATGTTATGAAACGGAAAGTGGAAAAAAAAATTTTTTTGAAAGAATGTCAGTCTAACTCACACCACTTACAACTATTTAGAAATGAAATTTCAGAAACAAATAAGGAATTTAATCGCCATAATATTCATTTTATAAGATTCCCCCGACATCGTTTTGCCATAAATATTATGAATTCCCTGCATTCCCCTACGTACTCTTGGATTATACAAACACAAAGAATATTTTATTCATAAATTTATACTTAAAACACCAATCAGTATGCCCGCTGTTAGATCAAATGCTAACTCAGCAACCATAATCTCGTATGGAAAAAATGGCACGTCTGAAAAATTGCATCATTAATTTTTGCCCGCTATAGCTATTCAATGCAAGTGCGAGATCAATCTTGTTTTTCGAAAAAATAATCTGCATTTTTGTGGTGCCTTTTATGGCACTTCTTCTTTGTACGATGCAGCTTCGTGCAGGTGCACTGGGTAACAGTGTTAATGAGATTCGTTACATACTTTATTTATATTTTAAATGAGAATTTACACGATAAATAGGGGAAGAAAATAATAAACGCAATTTGTTACGCCTTACTTCATCAATTTTAAGTCTTAAGCCAGTGTCTGCTTAATTATAAACATAATGCACGCACTTTAAATTTAGATTTTTTTAAATTCTTACATAATATATAAACGTTCATCAAACCCAACCTTTTGTTGCCTGCACAAATAGCACAGCCAATTATTTGAATTGTTACACCACTCAATCGCCAGTCGTTAGGGGAGAGCACCATGGATTTTGAAAATAGATTGATAGGAAAAAACGATGAACGATCAACAATGAATACAACAGGAGCTTTAATAGAAATTTTGTTATAATTATTAACACCAAATTGGTGCTGACTTCTTTCGGATTTATTTTACATTACTTTACAAGTGGGCCCCAATCGAGATCCATTCCAGTCCAGTTTTTTCTTCCCCTTAAGAATTTTTAAACAAAAATAACTCTTAAACAACAGTCAAAAGTCTACTATTTGAATTAGTATCAGCAATGTTTACTAGTAAAATAATAATAAAATAGTCGTTTTCACTTTTAAGTAGTTATTTTTTACTACTTAATTAAAATGTTAAAGTTTGACTAATTTAAGATAAGTCGCCATCTTTGAATGTTTATAAGTAACTAAATTCTTTAATAGTTTTTAATTTTTAAATGCATGGTTAAATGGCCCATAAACCAAACAAACATGCAAAAAGTTTAGCTCCAAACAAGAACATAAAAAAGTTATTCGTTAGTAATATCATAAGGGCATCACAACACAACAAAATTAATTTGTTAAAAAATATTACTTAGCATTGTTTTTTTCGATTTTTAATTTGTATAATAATATATGTCACCTCTTGTGCAAACATTCCTTTGCTTTTTATTTCATTTAATATAATATCCTCAATTTTACTCAAAAAAATGGCAACAAAAAATTTTGAATTTCCTAAATTATCGTAAGTAATATCATAAGGGCATCTAATTTTTACAAAAAAAAATCGAAAAAACACAAAAATCCGAGTCGAAGACGAGGATTTTTGCACCTGCACGAATGCATTTTGTTAAAAAATATTACTTAGCATTGTGTTTTTTCGATTTTTTTCGCAGGAAAAATTAGATGCCCGAATGGTTATTTGACAAGACTATTTCATGAGTAACAGTTATTCTGCATACAGATAGCTTACAAAACATACTACATATACATGCTTACAAAATAAATATGTACCTAGGTATTAATTTGAAAACTGAAAAATGGGTAATTTATTTAATCACAAAATACTACAAACTTAATTATTTATGGTACAATTAAAATATAAATTGCAATTTTTGTTGACAACAGCTGTCAAGTTTTGCCGCGGGTAAACTCGAAAAAACTGCTGACAGGTGCTGTCATACAGTTTTTTCACCTAGAAACCATTTGTAATTCAAAATTGCGCGTTTGTGATTGGTGGAAATTAAGACAAGGGGAAATAGTCAACTTTAAAATAATATTAACAATATTTATTGACAGATATAGACATTTTTATAAACTTAGCAATGGTGCAGCTTTGGACATGTTTCATTCGGTAGAATTTGACTAATTTTAAAAGAGAAGCTAACACACATCATTAAATTGCAATTTCTCGGGCCAATACCTCGGCTGTAATTTATACTTTTCAGAGGCAATCAAGCCCTTAATAATCCAATATAAACAATTAGCAGATGTTGTTTCGCGGGGGGGGGGTTCGAAACGGCAATTTGTTGGAAACGCGGTGGCGAGATTAGATGGGCCGCCGGAGATATATGAGAAACTTATGGGGCGAATTCCAGAAATCCGTGCGATAACTTAATACGGGAGGTGGCCCCGGGAAATGAAAAGGACCGACCGCGAACCCTGCTGCTCAAACTTTGTTAATTATCGCCATTTCCAAAACCGCCGCCAACTCTTACGAAATGACCAAACGCACAATGAAGCCACATCAGATGTTTAAAACGACAAAGTCGCCATTAAACCGAGAAAAAAGTCTGAATCCAAAGTTGACATTAAATGTAAATTTTACATTCTAACGAAAAAGTTGTTACAAGTTGTTTTCAATATTTAAGGTGTATTACACCACAAGGTATTTTTTCTGAAAATACTATTCTTTCCCTTTAAAATTTCGATTTAAGTAAAACGTCTTGATGAAACATTTTCTAGTATATCCAAAACAATATTTCCTGATGTAACACGTAACAATAAAAAGTCATCACCATCATCATCATCTATTTCGAAGATAGTAGTGCCACCGCGTGGCAGAATTTAGACGCTTATGTAACAAACGAATGTTTTTGAGAATAAAGCCGGAAAATGTTAAAAATATCGGAAACCGTGGCACGATTTGTTGTGTTGTTGGGTGTATTTCGAGAGGAAATTCTGGGTCTAGTTTTTATCGGTTTCCCAATAAACAGTGGAAATCCGAATAAAGAAATAAATTTCATACAGTCCCTGTAAATATAAATTCAAAATATCAAGAACCTGTATTATATTAATTCGTAGGTATATTTTGTCGACGTTTTTACCTTAATATAATAATATTTGATTTTAAGGTTATGTTTGTACAACAATTTTGTTAGATTTCCAAACTTAAATATAAATTATTTTAGGTAAAATTATTATTAGATAATTCTGCACCATATACGGACCGTTTAAGATCCTACAATTAAAAACACACTAATTCACCATGATCACTTAGATAAAATACACACACTAACGTAACTATATAAGCATATAGGCGTTAAGTTTCTTAAACAATTATATACGGAATAATAAATTGAAATCGAGTACTAAACCAAAGTTTTTTAGTTTTTACTTGCAACGTGAAACACAAATAACGTGCGGGATTTAGGTGTGCAATTGAACAAAATTTGTCGAGTAAGACTTCCACTCTTTTGTAAAAAAAACTACTTATTTATTATAATTCTTGAATTCACACAATGCTATCGAACACCACCAGGTGGCGCGCGCGTTGCGAAAACCCGATACTTTTTTTTATTTTTTTCCTTAATGTTGTTATTGAACAAAACCATGGTGATTCTAGAATGTTAACCACTTATTAATAAATCGAATCTTATAATGATTTTGATGCGTTCAAACATTGTTCATATATTAAGCAATATTAAAAAATGACGCTTAAAACCTTCTGAACCCAAATCGACCACCATAATATAATATATTATATACTCCATCCTCAACGGTTTTTAAGTTATTCGCTTCTTTAGTTTCTTCCTAAAATATGTTATTAGACAAAACCATGGAAGCAGCAGCGTAATATTATTTAAAACCTTATAAGTTTGAATGATCATCAGCAGAATTATATCAAAGAATTTTAAAATACTTGCAATCAACTAATAAAGGTCAAAAACAATTAAAATTTGATATTTAGAGCTTTCTTGGACTTTATGTATCCAAATCCACCATTTCATCTGTCATCATCAATCGTGTTCCATTGTGACTCAACTCAAAGTAATTCAATAGCGTGTTCTGGGCGATGTAAACCGATAGCGACGCGGGCGGGTCGTTGGACGGCGACCGACGCGTCGCGACGTTCATCGAAACTAATTGCAATTAACTGATACCGTAATTCTGGGCACAATTGCCGCCGCAACGTTTGTTCCCTTTTAACGCCACCTACACTTATTTCGCGTTGCCAGCAAAATACCTCTTTCGCGAAGCTCACCTCAATGACGTCAGAGCTGGGAAAGTTACTTCTGAAAAGTATCTAGTTACTTTTCTAAGATACTTTAAACAAAATAAATTAGTTACCTCTGGTAACTAGATACTTTGAGTTAAAAGTATCTTTAGTTACAAGATACTTTAAGAAGTATCTAAGATACTATCCGAAAGTATCTAAGATACTATCCGAAAGTATCTAAGATACTATCCGAAAGTATCTAAGATACTATATGAAAGTAACTAAGATACTTTTGTGTAACTAAGATACTTTTAAGTAACTAAGATACTTTAGAGTAACTAAGGTACTTTTAAGTTTGAATAAAAACTATAAAGTTGTAGGTTAGGTAATTTGGTACTTTGAATCATTCTGGAATTCCTCAAATTTTCTCTAAGAAAGTATCTAAGTTACAATGAAAAGTATCTAAGTTACACTGAAAACTATCTAAGTTACTTTAAAAAGTATCTTAGTTACTTTAAAAAGTATCTAGGTTACTTGAATGTATCTTACTTACTTACTTTACCGAGTAACTTATGTAGATACTTTTTAGTATACAAGTTACAAGATACTTTTCCAAAGTATCTAAGTTAAAGATACTTTCTGTCCATTATAAAAAGTATCTAAGATAAAGTATCTTAGATACTTTAAGTATGTAAGTTACTTTTAAGTATCTTTTTTTTTCAAGATACTCCCAGCTCTAAATGACGTTAATTGTTTTTTTCTTAATAAAATAATATGATTTATGGTTTATAACAATTGATCATAAAACTGAGTAATTCAACTCAACTAAAGATTTTAACTGACATAACGGCAGTGTGTGATACTAATTTTAAGCCTTTAGCGACGAAAACACTTTTCGCAAAGCCGAACTTTGATTAGGTTTTTAAAGCCAGTAATAATAGACCAAAACAATAATTTCACTATGATAGTTTTACAAACTTTTCCTAACATTATGTAGGTACTCCAGCTAATTTTGGGCCGCTGATTTAAAAAATGTCATTAGTTTTTCTCTAGGACGTCTAGGATTTAAAATAATTTCGTAATAAAATACTCTGCTCAATCACCTCAAAATGTAAGTTTTTTGTTGGTATTTTAATTATTTATTAAATTATTTTGGGTTAAATTTATCTTGAATGTACTAAAGTAATTGGTATACGGCAAATATCATATTAAATATGAATATAAATTTTATCTTAACAATATGACATTTTAAATACTAAAACTAAAATTTTAATGTATTTGATGTAAAAAATTGATATTTTTTGTCGTTTATTTTAATTATTAAATTGGAAGGGCAACAAAGTAAACAAGTTTCAGTATTTTTTATCCAAATTAAGCCCTCAAAATTTAATGCATTGCATAATTTAGCTTTTTTCTACCTTAAATTTATTAAATCGTATCAAATACAAAATTGGATTTAGTATTATTGTGCTTAATCCTCATCATCTTCGTACATATTTTGCTGTAAATTCCAGCAAATGCTTCCTAGCAATGAATCCAACTTCTTTTCGCTATACCCATAGGTATCTACCAATGCTCTAGATTTGCAGTTACTTGGTGAAATCGTTTTCCATGTTCATCAATTCGGCAAATTTATCAGGATGAAAAAAAAAGAAAATGTATTTTAAATAACATATTAACGCTAATTCTTTGCAAAACGGAAAGCATTTTTTCAATGTATTGATGTATATTTTTGACAAAAAACGTCAAAAATATACTGAACATTCAAAATAGAGTTAAGGCAAAATAATTTAATAAATAATCAAAATATTAACAAAAAACTTACATTTTGGGATAATTGGGCAGAGCATTTTATTACGCAATTATTTCGAATCCTAGACGTCCTATAGCAAAACGAGTGGCATTTTTGAAATCAGCAGCCCAAAATTAGTTAATATAGGTGGACGCAAAGATAATATGATGTATTATCTTTGGGTGGACGTACTCAATGTTAGTAAATCGCACTATCATAGTGTAATAGACCAAAACAATGATCTTTAAATGATAATTTGCAATCTAACTGTACTTATAGCATTTTTTTCTTTTCCAGGTAAGTTCTCATGGTGTTCAAGGGAAGAGAGCTAGCGTTTCTGTAGATATAAAATATATATATAGAAATTCCTAATTTCACTTTTCATTCGATGCCTCGTTAATGTAAGTAATATTAACATAAAATGGCCGCCATTGACATTATATTCTTTACGATTCGCCTTAAATGCATGCGAACATGGCATGATGCGCTTCCGCATACTGCAAGCTGATGCGATATAAATACAACTTTAATGCCGCCACTTAAATCAAAAACATTTTCTCAAATAATAAATTTCCTGTGAAGATGAAAAAAACGTTATCGTAAACAAAAAGACAATACCGCATGTAAAACAGAAGTCGAGAACATTACGCTAGATTGCCGTCGGGTCCATTCGATTAACTCAGATTACCAGACGTAAAACATTTTTACTCGAAAGATGCACACGCAAGATTGTGCCGGTTATCCGTATGAGATATTGGCAAAATATACGCACACGGAAAAACGTTATCGGTTTATACGCATGTAATTGTCGGTATTAAAAGCAATTACAACACAACTGTCATAAATAATTTCTTCATCAAGCGCGAAAAACTTTTGATGTTATAATTTCACATGAAGAACTAAGACTTATGCGGTTTAATGACCAATGAATGCTCATTAAATACATACAAAACGTATATGGCCACCAGTTACAGGAAAAAATAAGAAGGCAAAACCATGTGGTAAAACTTTAAGTTATTACAAATACTACTTGCCATGAAAGGTTTTAAAAGTGCCAGAAATGGAAAGTAAGGAGAAACTTATTATATATATCCCTCTCATATTTCAATAATAATGTCTTATTTGTTTAATTAACTCCTTCACAATTTATTATACAATGTATATTATAACTTCTTCATTATTTGGACTAGTGCTCCTTCCTTAGTCTTCTAGACATGGTCTTGATGATTACAAATTTATTTTTCTTTTCCTGATAATGACCAAAACAAAAACGTAGGTCCAATTGGGGCTAATATCGGTTTTTCTTTTGAGGAAAAGAAACGATACAAATTGCGTTACCTCTAATAAGAATAAACTAATATTAATTCGATGAATAACATTATCTTGTGGAAACGGGTTCGTCAGCTCGATGCATCATTAATCAAAATTTTCTTGCAATCCGAAACTCGGCGTAATTTCCTCCTAAATCACATTATCATCAGCGAAGCTCAACCCATCTCTCTCTCTCTCACCGCATTTATTCGATCAATTTTAAAAACGTGATTTGCCTAATATTTAGAAGTATTATTCCCGCGGCAATTTTTGATTCGACGAAACAATAAACGCGTACGTGATCCTCAACCGTACGGCAAATAGACGGTTTTCTTTTTTCTCGACGATGATGACTGTTACCTGGCATGCGGTTTTAATTAACAGCCAGTCGCATACGCACTGCGAGATGCCAGTTTTTTAGTGCGTAGCTTAGCCTGACAACCGGCTCAAATCAACATCTGTCATCGTATTTTTTGTAAATTTTTGAAATATATATTTTTTGACACCCTTTGAGTTTTGTTTAATATAAATAATGAAGGCACCATCTGAAGTTAAAAAAAACATGCAGTAAAAATATAAGAAGTTTGGACTTCCGGGGCAATTAAACCGTTTGCACGTCGTTAACTTCTTATCTTTAATTGTGAAGAAAATTCTTGCGATTTCTGTGCAAATCGCTTTTCCATGCGCATATACAGTAAATTAAATTAGTCGAAACGTCCAATGATGTCGATTATATTCGTGTGGCAACCGATAAGTGTCGGTGTGTAAAATTAATCGAAAAGATCGGGTTAAATGGCGATCAGTGTACGTTAATTTCTATCACTTTGTTAAATTGCCAGGAAGACGTTAATTAAAGGTAATAAAAGACATTGAGTTTTCAATCTTCAATCTTGCGTTATTTACATCTCTTGCAGTATGTGTGTGCACGAATGTATTTAATTATATTACGTTCGCATGCGTGTTTATTGCATAATTAATGATTTTTTTCGTTTGCTATTGTAACTGTACCCGCGTCTTTATTAGCAAAGTTAAAGGCTACATTCGGTTTTTTCTTATGACTTATCATTCTTTTATTCCATTGTGGATAGAATAATCCATTAAAAATGCTCGTTATTGAATCGTCTCCTCTTTCTTTCTTCAAAAACTTTTGATGAGAACTTTAATTAAAATGTATTTGCTCATCTACGCATTTATCAACATGGTTTCCACCATCTCATTCTTACGAGAATGCTATTTATATTTCAATAGTATAAAATACAATGGATTTTGGAGGATTTTCACGAAATTCTCCAGGTAATGATACACTGATCATACGTCCTGACTACTAGGGACCCTACTGAGTACCATAAACAATGTCAAACCATGAGATGCGTATGTCGAACTTAACGTAGCAACGCTGGCGTTGTCCATAATTGAAATATAAATAGCAATCCTTGTAAAAAATGATGCAAAAAACTGAAAGCGACTTGCATCATCAGGATTGATGATACGTAATGCAAAAGACACATGTAGGTGTGAAGTAAAACAGTTTATTTCTGCCCGACATTAGCATATTGATCGTAAATTATTGTGTCATCATCATTATTATTCGCGATTACATTTACATATATCCATCTCTTCTCGGTGTAATTGCGCTCTCATAACACTTAGGCACTACGCACAGTTGCAGCGCCCCCAATCGCCCGTTAAGGTAATTATTTAGCCTGCTTGCTGTCGAAATTGATTGTGCGGTAATAAATTTCTCTCCGACACGAATTTTCTTCAAACAGTGTTTATTTTTTTTATGATAAATTATGAATATTTATAGAGAACTGCAGACAATACGAACATGTTATGAA